ACCAAAAAATTTTGTTTTTCATTCGAAAGATTTCGTACTTTGCCCTTCTCGCGGCAGCTTAATCAACCGGAATCATTACCAAGAAATGCGTGCGGGGAGCGCTACGTGCTTCACATTGTTAGCCGGGCTAGTGACGTCGCTCCCCACTTCATACTCTGCCGTGGCCGCAGCAGCTTATTCAACCGGAATGTTTACCGCGAAACGTATGGGGGGAGATTAGGTGCTTCTTGTCGTCCGCGCGCGCGCGTCTTTATCATCCATCTTGTAGTTTTGACAATTGTTTTGGGGTTTTCATATTGAAACAAGTGTCAAACAACACGATAGATAAGGAGCGCGTGTACGGTGATAAAATGCGCGCGATAGTTTTTGTGGATTATTCTGGCGACTACTGTTTTGTCGACGGACACGCGAAAACCCTACCGAGTCGTATACAACTTCACGGTAAAAAAACAAATCACTGAAGCACAACAAATGTGACTGCATTAAATGTGGATTAGTGCTAGTAACTGCTCTGTTTTCTCGATATTATTAGCGCTTCTCTTTCGGCAAATGCCTTAGCGGTCACAGCCGGCTTGAGTCTGTGATTATCACTCTTGAAGCTGTTCCAACAACAGAAAGATGCTCAATTCGTATTTCGAGGAGAGGGGAGAATGTTTCATGTGACACTAGTTCTTTAGGCACTCAGTTCGCGCAAAAACACCTTGACGTGGCCAGCTTCCATTGCTGCTGGTGAGTGCATTCATTTCTCTCTACGATGCAAGAATAAAGGTAAGCCTTTTGTAGCACTGTTCTTACAAACTAGCGTGGAGCACAGATTACTGCACATTGCAAAGGATTATTGAGCCTTGAAGCTGCGAACAAAAAAAAATATAATACTGGCAACCACGAAAGCCGGTTAGCGGGTGCCCGGATCGCTCGCCCGCCTTCCCACCGGACACGCACACCGGAAATGAAAAGTAGACTTTTTTCATTGTTATTAGTAGAAAGCCACCTCCTGGAACGCTCGCGGCCGGCGTAATTTCAAACATTTATTAAGTTCATAAATATTTTATTTATAAACTACTTTGGTTATCAATTGACCAGCTGTTGTTTGTGCGGTCTGCCAATTTCCGGCCAAATTGAAGACTATAAATAGAATGGCGCAGTTCCCCCCACACATACCAGACATCTAGCGCGGGCCGCTAGCACTACATTTCGGCAGAACCGAGCATTCGGCGTTGCGTAGTTTATTTTCTCGGTAAAAAAGAAATATAGAATTTTTTTTCGGGGAATTTTGTACATTAAAAAAAGGAATGTAAATGTCAACAAGACCACTAGATCAAATTCGGCACGCCTTTTTGTATCTACAGAGGCACATTTTTGTGAAAGTCTGCCTCTGTCCGGATAAACATTCTGTATCCCACGTCACAGGAATTAATATAGCTGTGTATGTTTCCACATCCACTAGAAAAACCAGCTTTATTGCTTGTCAAATGCGGCCCTGCACTTAACCTGGACGCAATCTAAGTGAGCAGGGTACGTAGCTTTCGTTCAGTATGTATCAAATTTATTAGATCTCACTCCACCATGGCGGAGGTAATATTATCCAGTTTAGAAATCAGGACGTCCCCCATTGTTGCAAACCTGCAAATCTGAATTCTTAACTACGCGATTCTTTCATGATTGCTTTGTAATCATATCCACCATAATTTCAATTTCTCTGAAGCTACGGATGTTATTTTCTTCGTCATTTCTAGCAAACAGTGTTTAGATATTATTTATTACCAAAAGCGTTTAAGTAATTATTTCAACCATAATAATAAAGGCGAACAAAATAGTTTCAGTTACGTTTATCCTTCATTGCAATATGCATTATACTTCTACAACTAAAAAGATTTTTTCACATCTGGCTTGTATTATGTCTTCTAGGAACCCTTGAGCGTATTTGCTAGCACTCTAGGGTGTTCTTTAGACATATGATCCTAAAAAGACAAAGTAAGAATTGAACTAGATACTCTAAAGTATGATTGTAATGCAATTAATGCAATGGTTGCAAGCGAGCTGGACAAGAATGACAATAATAATCCCTGGAGAAGGGGACCAAAGAGGACAAACACGATTCTCCAAACACAGCTAGGTGACCGGTGAGCGACTGATAAAATCCGCGTGGTCCAGGAATCGAAATGATCGACCCAGGGACCTCTACATTTCCACTGGAGCGCTCTGCCAGCTGAGCTAACCAGGAGTTAGACGTCTGTAGAGTAAACGGGTTTTATCAGGTGCTACCAGTCAAATACCAACAGGAATGAACGTCCTGCATTTTAAGCTTATGATTTTAATTCAATTAATGCAAAGGGGCAATTGAGCTGGAAAAGAATGACAATAATAATTCCTGGAGAAGGGTAACAAAGGAGACAAAGGGCAAACACAAATTTGCAAACACCTTGGTGACTGATGTGCGACCGAAAAATTCCGCCTGGTCCTGCTATCGAACCAGGAACCTCTCTATTTCCAGTGAAAGACTCTACGAAATGAGCTATCCAGGAATACGACGTATGTAGAGCAAACGTTTTCTATCAGCTGCCAATAGTCTAACACCAACGAGGATGAACGGCCTGCATTTAAACCTTGTGACTATAATGCAGTTAATGCAAAGGTGCAAGAAAGCTGGACAAGAATGCCAATGATAATCCCTGGAGAAGGGGAACAAAGGGGACAGAGAACAAAACCAAATCTCCAAGCACAGCTAGGTGACTGGTGCGCGACCGAAAAAACCCGCCTGGTCCTGGCATCGGACAAGGGACCTCTCCATTTCCAGTGGGGAGGTTCCTAGTTTGGAGATTTGTGTCACCCAGAGCCGTATATTGGGAGAGTTTGGCCATTCATTGGTATCAATGGGGCGAAAATCTATTGGTCGAATAGTTGATTGACAGGCCGCTCGTGGCCAATCACAAGCCGCAAAACCTCCCCTAGCGGTGGTCGTGAGCCTCAAAAGTAAAGCAGGGTTCGGTAATTTCATTTTAGCGTCGCTAGAGTTAAAAAAGTTAACGCTCGGTGACTGAAAACTTGGTGCATGTGAGCTTTTCGTCATAGTCTTCTTTAATGGTAGAATAAACGAATGCGCACGCGGACACGTGCGTTGAAATAACGTAAACAAAAGTTTGTGTAGCCGCGGGAGTTCCGCCGTTCCGGTCTTGTTTGAAAAATGGGTCGTTGTTGTGCTCTGAAGTGCCGGAACAGAGCTTCCAGGGGAATTCGCTTGTTCAAGCTGCCGAAATCCCCGAGGAGACGGAAACTGTGGCTTTCAGGAATCAAGCGTGGCGCGGGGTGGAAACCTCCCGACAGAACGTACCTTTGCGAGGTGAGGTATTGTTCATTGTTAATATTGTGACGCGAGCACGGTGGACGCGAGTGCACGGTGACAAAACCGTGTATTTTGTGATCTATTCTCTACTGCCGTGGAAGCGTCCTGTGCGCTTTCGCTTCACCGCAGAAAGACGAGTGGTTCAGGCCTGTGGCGGTCGTGCAATGATGGATTTGTAAGATCGCGTATTTTGAAAGCGTGAGCCTCTCGTCAGCGGAATAACTGTACTGTGACGCGAGCGGCTGAATACACAGTTTTGACGTCTACCAAAACGTTATTCGCTGCAGGACCACTTCGAGCCCTCCCAGTTCCAGACGAGGTGCTCTGACGGCTGAAGAAGGCTAAAAGCCACAGCTGTTCCGAGCTTGTTTCTGCATTCTGAAAGTCAAGTGAGTGCGTGTAACGAGGATAAGTGAGATTTTTGTTCTTTTGGTATTTACCTAGATTATGGGAGTGAATTAAAAACAATAATTTATCTTGTGTTAAGATGTTTTTACTGATATGATTTGAAAGAGGCACAGGTGACCTATAATAATGTAGACTTGGTAGGCTGTTGACATCTCTATTCCATGTCAGAGACCTTTTCTTTTTTTTTTAAATCGGAGTGGTCCTTGTGCAAGAGTGCATGAGACACCATCATTCAGTGTTGCAGCCTGACACAGCACAAAACCCCGCCTCATGGAAATGTAAGTCAAAACATCCAATAACTCATATTCTGTTGCTTCTATGAAGTTAATGCATGAGGCATTCCTCACTCTCAGCTGCCTTGTAATGTTATGACAGCCTCACCAGCTAAGTATCTGTCATGGTTCTTGCATGGCTTGGAGTGATCTTGTGAGGTGGGCAACACCCAATGGACCATTTGCAGAATTAGTGGTTCGAGAGTGCATGGCTAAAATACGAGAGTTCCCTGGCCGCAGGCACGTCCACTGCGTCCCGTTGGCTTATTGTGTCGCAGTGACTTAGATAGAGCTCCCCCAAAACCACTTTTGTCCCCCTTGAGGATTATCTTTCACCCCGAGGTAAATACAAAGAAGCCTTCGTCCCTCTCAGCTCGGCCAGCATGAAGAGAGAAAGGGCGACAAATCCATTTATTCTCGAACCCATATTTCTGCAAAACGAGGATTCTCGTACTGTGTTTGCAGCAACCAGCGGCCAGGACCTCCGGAGCGACCCTGCAGGTCGGCCTGCTGAAGCAGCCGCTCCCCACCACCAGTGGGGCTTGCTTCGTAAGCATCTTCCAGGGTCCTGCGTACCCCCGTGTAGCAATACCACCACGCTCTTCGCCGCAGGTGACCAGTGACAACCAGCGCGGCCAGGCCAGCTCAGCTGCCCGCGACACCTTGGTGTCGGCACACTCCACCAGCTGGGTATGTGGTTCTTGCACGGCTTGGAGTGATCTTGTGAGGTGGGAATCACCCGATTCTCATACCGTGTTTGCAGCAACCAGCAGCCAGGACCTCTGGAGCGGCCCTGCAGGGCAGCCTGCTAACGCAGCCGCTCCCCACCACCAGCGGGGCGTGCTTCGTAAGCATCTTGCAGGGTCCTGCGTACCCCCGTGTAGCAATACCACCGCACCCTTCGCTGCAGGTGACCAGTGACAACCAGCGCAGCTGCCCTCGGCACCTTGGTGTCGGCGGCCTCCACCGGCTGGGTATGTGTCATGGTTCTTGCACTGCTTGGAGTGATCTCATGAGGTGGGCAACACCCAATTCTTGTACCGTGTTTGTGGCAACCAGCGGCCAGGACCTCTGAGCGAACCCTACAGCCTCTTTCTCCATCACCCGTTTTACCTAGGCTCACTGAAGATGTCTTTCTTCAGATGAGCCGGAAGATCAAGCAGCTGGAGAACGAGAATCATCGCTTGGTGAGGCAGGCTGCCTTACAAAAGACAAGGGAAGCGACATTCCGGTCTCACTTGCACAAGTTCTTCACTGCGGACCAACTGGCAGCTCTATCGAGATCCAGCAACAGGGGGTCCAAGTGGTGTAATGAGACGGTGAAGAAGTCGCTGCAGATGCGATCTGCATGTGGCAGCTTGGGCTACGACTTGCTACTGGAGGGGAGCTTCCCATTGCCGTCGTCTAGAACTCTGGGGCGGCGGCTTGAAGGCAAGTTTGTTGTCAGGCTACTCAAATGCTTCAAAGCTCCGTGTTGATTATTTGCAGATATAATATCCTTGTTAGTAACTGTAGTGTTTTTGTATTTTACACAATTTATTTTTAAATGATAAGTTGGTGTCATGGTTCCTTTTTTACTTAGTTGCAGTGTGGTATGAAGGGGTAGATTATTGATATTGTGTTGGAATGATTCTCTCATCGCAGGCATACAGCACTAGTTTGACCTCAGTATCTTGCACGCGTCGAGATGTGAATTCAAGTTTAGAGGGGAGTGTTTCCTTCACTCCCAATTTTTGTAACCTTGCTGATGCGACCATGGAGGTAATTATGCTGACGGTGTCTAGGAGAGCACCCAGTGGTGATGATGGTCGAATGAGGCTTATGGATTCCATACGAGCACTGCATGAACACTTGACTTGGGTTCGTGACAATAAGTGCCTCGGCAAACATTTGGGCAGCTCATGACTAATCTCTGCACACGAATGGCCAAAATGAAACATTGTTTACAGCTCAGCACATGCTGCACATGTTGCCATGCCCAGCCTATGGCTATACACAGTTCTCACGTGACGTCATTCTAGTCACCATTCCCAGGTACTAAGCGTCCCATTAATGTAGTGGAAGGTAGGTCTAATCTGCACCCCGTGATTGGCACGGCCCTACTAGAATAAAACGTCATCATCTCACCTACCAATCGTGTGTGTCCTGTGTCCTGTGATGTCGAGATCGCTCTAGCGCTCTTATCAGTTGCCCTTGGGACTCGCGATGAGTTGGCCGCGTGCCGTTCGTTTGGTGATGTGCGCAGTTTCTAAGTGCTGGCAAAGTCGCGATTGCAGCGAGTTAGCGCAGTTGAGTGCGCTTCTTAACGAGCACCGGTGTGCTGTGCAGAAGCGACACTTACAGAGAAAACACCGTGATTGTGCGTATTTCGCAGGCACTGCGATTGTGCATTGAGTGGAAGGCACACCTCCAGAGAAGAAGAGCTCATGCGCGTGTGCGACGAATTCAGGAAAACATTGTAATGTAGCGTAATGATTGTTCATGTTCCTGGTCAATATGAGTGCTTACCTCAAGGCCAAAAAAAAAACAAAAAAACTGGCTTTTACCATGAATATGTGTTACTCTACAATTGAGGTCCCGTCAAGCAGTGTGCATCATTGCTCATCATTTCTTTAATCTAAGATTTAAAACGAATATTTGGGTATAGCAAGAGGACTGACAAATCTCTCATCTACTTACAATCTCTATGTAGGGCTTGATTTATTTGAAGCGAGAGTCATTCAGTAATTTAGATCAGAATTAACTGAGCCTTGGCAGTGGGTAGGCAGATACTTGAGAATAACCTAAATGAAACTAGCTCGATTTTCCTTTACAAAGTATAATCATTGCTCACATGCTGAGTTTGTGCACTAGAAAGCTATCTCTACAGGAAAAATGCTGTTGACAAGCTTCATTTGTTGCTTCGATTAACAACTGCAGAATTTACGCACATCCTTGAGAACGTGAACAAAACATACTCAAAATTACTCTTGTCTAACCTCATTTCAGTGGATTACTGTGTGCCCCTTGATATTAGGTGTTTTAGGTATGACAGTCTTTATATCATATCTAAAATGACTTTTTATTCATACTCGTTCACACTCATCCATCACTCAAATACTATAATGTTTTGAAAAATGTGTACTAAGGTAAGAGTGCTAAGCTAAGTTAGCATGTAGCTTAGCTTGTTTGTAGCTAGCTAAGCTAGTTACACTCGACTGGAAGCTAACTTAGGTTAGCTACCATTAAGCTAAGCTACCTTCCGCCATCTTGACATCAACACTGTCAAGATGGCGGAAGCTGAGCGCAATGGCAGTATCAGAAAGGCACCGCAAGTATTCAATATGCGATTCGAAATTATTCGACCCAAGTCACTATTAGCTTCTTATTCGCTTGAAACATAAAATTCGTTATTCGCACGTGCCTGCTTAAGGGGAAACTAAAGCGGTTTTGTACCTTTAAAAAACACTTGCATCATCTTCATATGGCCTCCAGTATCACGAATATTAAAATTATTTGTCAATTTGAGGCCCGGAGTAGCCATCAAAGCATTTTGACCGTAGCGCTGAAGCCCGCCCTCCCGAGGTGTAAGAAGCTAGGAGGAAATTTCTGAGAGACAGCAGCGTCGCAACAAGGATCCTCGGAATCTCTGCAGCTATTGCAAGCTTATTTGAGTGGTCGACAAATTGTGTGCGATTCACCTCATGCTCACGATTTTCGCTCGCCTGTTTGTTTTGACGTAAGTTTAGTACACCTATAAACTTTCATAAAAGATTTAGCGGATGTTGGTCAGGCGTGAAAGATTGTAGCGGGAACTAGGCGTCTGTAGCAGATGACGCACCATTTCACGAGAATAAAAAAAGCGCTGCATTGGGCAAGGCTGGTCACATGTGCCGGAACACTGCACGAGAGATGGTGCTTGAGCTTCGGTGGCCAGGTGAAAGTTCTTGACGTGACATCATGCCGAGTGAATTTTTTAAATATTTCTTTGCGTTGGGTAATACTTCTTGAGCAAATAGTGCATATTCAAATTTGCAGGATACAAATACGGAAGAATTTACCTCGAACTCATTTTTTTTGGAGAACCTCTTTAGCTTCCCTTAAAGTGTTTTCAACAAAATCAGTCAGTGGTTCACAAATCGGAGTCGGTGACACTTTAGCAACGCACAGCTACCAAAGTAACCATGGAGTGTACTTTACTTCAGTGCTGGCATTCATCACCTTTGCTCATGAAGTGGAACTGCCAACTTTAAGAGAGTGGCAAAAACTCGTAAAAAACTAGAAAAACCATTCGTATGGACAATAGGAATGAAAGTTAGCAGCCTTTTCTTCGTTTAGTGCCCATGCTGTTCTTTTATTGACTGAGGGGGAAGTTTCAAATCATTGATTCCTTCAGTCCAGTTTACCAAACATTGCATACACTTGATGATCTAAAGCAGTTCTGTGTTTGTAGGTGAGCACTGCCCTACGGGTCCTCAGTCACTCCACAGCCACTGCCCTGCGCTTCCTGGTGGAGAATCATGGCTGGAGCACCAACTTCCTCACCACGGCTTGGTTCTTGGAACAGGCCAACAAATGGTTTGATCTTATGAGCAGCAGGCACCCAGTCCTTGCGATCAGCAGGCAAAATGAGGCCTGCTACAAGAATACCCTTGACTTTCTGGTCAAATTTAAGGATCTTTTTCTCCACCTCACTATTGGGGATGGAGCGTTCAGGCCAGTGCAGGCGGGGGTAATCCTCTCTACCAAGTCCATTCTGGACCTGCAGCAAAGTCTCATTGAGAGACATTCTTTTTCATTTGTGCTCACATCCAGATTCACGCAGGACTGCCATGAAAACTTGTTTTCGGTAGTGCGACAGGGCAACCCTATCCCAACTCCTTGGAGTTTAAGATGACCTTGAAAATCATCACACTCTCTCAGTACCTGAAGGCGTCCAAGGCAGGGTCCTACGAACTGGACGATGCCTCCTTTTACCTGGCTGACCTCGCAGACTTGGATGTACAACCTTCTGTGCCCACCGACATTTTTCTTGAGGAGGTAGAACTCACCATGTCACAACCTGAGGAGAATAGCTTTGACTATTACGCGGGTATGTGGTACGAAGAGTTGTAATAAATAATGCTACATGTGACACGTGTGCTGCAGCTGTTCAAGTCCCCATGGCACCTGCAAATAGCCTCCTCAGCCTAAAGAGTCATGTCCCTGACGCTCTGACCTGCCCCTCTGAAGCTGCACGCGCCCTCTTCACAATTTGTGAAAGTGTCTTTCGCAGCCTCATTGCGGATTTGATGCATGCACGGGGCATCCTGGACGGCCTATCGGCGAGGATGGCTGCAGAGAGCCAATGTGTTCAGCTGCCCGACTGCGATGAAATCAAAATGAAGCTCATCAGGCGATTCTGCCATGCACGGCTGCAACTGTTCCTGCGGGAAAAAAAGTCGCGAGTTGGCGGCTGGGGCAGCTGAACGCAGGGACTTCGGCAGTCGATGGCAGGACCTCGGAGAACTAATTAGTGTTTTAGATTGCCTTAGTTGATGAAACTGTTGTCCCGTTCTCATTTTTTTTTACTTTGCTTTCTTCTTTGTGTTAAGGGCAGCTTTAATTTTTTGCGTTCCTTGTTTACCGAGGCACTTCTGAATTTTTTTTACTCTTGCAACGGTTGTTTGTGCGAGGCCCTTTTTCTTGTGATCTCCATGTAAGCCTACGTGAAGCCTCTGCATTTCTTTTTATGCTTGCTACACATGCTTGTGGGAAGTTTCTTATGCTGTGCTTGTAAGCATCTGTAATTTTTTTATGCTTGCTACGGGTCTGTGAGAAGCCCATTTTCTTGTGCTCTGCCTGAGGCCTCTGAATTTTTTTACGCTTACTAGAGATGTTTGTGGGAAGCTCTTTTTCTTATGCTCTACGTGCAAGCCTGCATGAAGCCTCTGGATTTTTTTCATGCTTGCGTCAGATGTTTGTGGAAATCCTTTCTTTTTCTTGTGCTCTGCGTGTAAGTTTGCGTGAAGCATCTAAATTTTTTTCACACTTTCTTCAGCTCTTTGTGGGAAGCTTGCTTTTTCTTATGCTCTGCATGTAAGCCTGAGTGAAGTTCCAGAATATTCTTTTACTTTTACGCTTGCTTCAGATGTTTGTGGGAAGCTTTTCTTTTTATTGTGATCTGTGCGTATGGCTGCATGAAGCCTCTGAATTTTTTTACGCTTGCTACGGTTCTTTGTGGGGAGCACTTTTTCTTCTGCTCTGCGTGTAGGCCTATGTGAAGCTTTCGCTGTCATGCAAACTTGCTCTTCTGTATCATGTTTTTTTTTTCTTGTCCTCCTTCTTGTGCTGTGCACTGCTTATGTTTCACTCATCCCTTTTGGCTTCATGTGGATGTTTGTAGCCTACACTTTCCTTCCTGGTGTCTTGCATGAAAGCCTACACTGTAAAAAATAACCGTCAAATTTACGGCGCTATACGCTAATAAAAACTGCAAAAACGCCGTGAAGAGGAATTACCTGAAATGCACCGTAAACGAGCAAAAAAGAGCGAGAGGGAAACGCAAAACTTCATGGAGCAAGAAAACAGAAAGAAAAGACGCACACCGCTAATTGGTCACCACGCTTGACCTTCGGAAGCTGCGGGAACCCAGAGAGCCTCCTCTCGCCCCTTCACCTCCTTTCTTTGTCCGCGCCAACGCAGAACGTAACTGCCTTAACTGTGAAAAAAAAAAAAAGACTTAAGAGCAAACAGTAGAGCAACAATGCGACGAGCTAGAAGCGTCGACAAAAGAAAGCAACGTTGGTTGGGACAACGCGGGAAGAAGTGGAAGAAGCGAACGTTCGGTTCATTTTCCCGCCTTCCCGCCCGCCTCCGCGCCGTTTTGTCCTCGTTCGTTCGTGGAATTCCCGGATTTTTGTGCACCTGAAAATTTGGAGCGGAAGGCAACTGGATACTCGAGACAGGTATTTCATTATCAATCTGCTGCTTGCTTGGCAAAGATACTGTAACGGTGGCATAAATACAACACCCCAAAATATGTTTACTTGCAGAATTTGTAGTTTCTGTTCAAGCACGCTTGCTGGTTGCGCAATTCGATGAGCACGTTTTCAGCTCTCGAATTCTTCCGTGTGTGGACGAAGGATGCTGTCGCTAGTTTGCTACGTATGATGCTCTCAGGTGTCATATTTTGAGAAGACATAGGCATTTGAACGCCTAGGGTAAGTACGGTTTGCTTCGAAGAGTTTGGAAAGCTTTCAATGCACTTTGCCAGCATGCTTAGAGGAGTGCCACACAAGGGAGGCTTTGCTAAAGCATCTAAAAAGCCACATCAGCGACGGTATTTTGGTTTCGTGTTCGTGCTCCAACTGTCAGAAGGTGTGAAATCATAGTTCACGACATATTTGAACTCGGCGCATTTACGAGCGACGGGCTTCTTGGGCGACAGCGCATCGCCTGCAGGGCCCGCTTCAGGTTGAGGACTCTTCGACTCAGTCGACTAGTGCGGATTCTAATGAAGACGGTTCTGTTAACGTGATGCAATCCCCTGATGATAACTACGACGTGTTAACGTCTCTGTCTGCAGAAGAAAAAAGAACGGCCGTAAAATACGACCTTGTTTTTTTTTTTTTTTTTTTTTTTTTTGTGCTTGAAGTTTAGCGGAAAGCTTTTTATGCCGGTATCAACAGTTCAAAAAACCATCTATGAATTTCAACGTCGGCACTTCTTGTACAAACAATACCTGTTCGGCAAACTTGCGGAAAGCCTTCAAAACGTGCTTGGTTCAGTCGAGGTTCATTACATCATTGAGTTCATAACATCATTATACAATGATGTTACGAACCTGAAATCTACCACCTTTCTTCCAGAACACATGAAATCTGCATATTTAAGGAAGCACTTTCCTTGTGTGGAAACGGTGAGTATGTACATAGGACGTAGTTGTGGTCAAAAGGACCGGTTTGCTCCGTATGTTACCCCCTAGAAAACAAATCTATGGGCCAGGTATTTACCGAGCCTCGCAGCGAGTCCCACTTACCCGGTGTTTTGGAGGAATTTTGTGATGGTGCCTGTCAGTAAGGCCAGTCTGTAACTGAGATGATTCAAGATGCACCACCGATCTCCCCATGCATTCTAGTTCATGGTGAGCATTCACTGATCACTTTCCGAACCCCAAGTAATCAATATTACCTATAATTTTATAATGATTTTTAACTACAATTATAGTTCTGCAATTTACTACAATTTATATCTGCCTTCACGCCCTCTGCTTTATCCTTTCTTTTCTAGGGGAAAGCATCTACTCAGCCAGCATGTACTCGATCTCAATTGATGGAATAACTGTGATGGACGAAATTCACATGTTCGACCACGCACTGGCTGTACTATTCAGCGCGTACTACGTTTTCAACATTGCGTACACAGAAGAGATTTGCATCACCTTGGAGTTTATTCAAAGGTACTGAGCTCATTTGTGCTTCTTGGCATCATTCGGTGTGTTTTTTTGTTTGTTCCTTTGTATACTTCATCTGATCTAACATGTTTCAGCAACGGCTCCAGACTGAGCTCCTTCTTTTAGATTGTCCATTGCTTGCATGAAAACTTGTGCAGCGAGAGTTCTTATCAATGCTAGAGGCATGCTATGGTGAGATATTGTAGAATAAAAAGCAAGTCTGATTATTTTATTTCGTGTTCCCTGTCCTTCGCTTACTCAAATATATTTTGTAGTTTGCAAATACATGCTACCAAACGATATTTTAATGAGTGGTACTTTTCGTTTAAAAAATTCAAATATAATTTTTTCTTCATAGCATTGTCTCTGTTATAACTTAGGATGAGCTATATACTCTAAGAAATGACTATACCTGCCTCACGACGCCACTGGCGACTAGTCTTCATTCAAAAAGACTTAAAATGTTTATTCAAAATAACGAGGCTTTTATTTCCACTTTTAATTTTTACAGAACAAAAATATAAATCAGTTCCTAGGGCTGCTGTTGCAGCTTTGGATCCAGTAGAGATATATATTCTGAACTTAAACATTTTCAATATCCCGAAGATGTAAAGGTCTTGTTAAAAGTGGCTCGATTGAACATTGTTGTTACATAATAATACCAGTGTGTATATTCCAAGACAGGCAAGTTGCTTAACATAAAGACAACTAATTTGAGAGTAATTTATTAGCGCAGAACGAGGAAAAAAAGCAATGATCTATTATACAGTTTTGAATGCGGTTCCCTATATAGCAACCTTCGTTACAATTGTAAAAGGTTATAATGTGTTGCTTTATAAACGACTATAGTTGAGAACTGGCAGATATTCCCTTTCGTTCTTTATTTGCATTTTACAAGTCAACAAAATATGTAATTCGGTGAATGGCTGTTCGGTCCTTAGCCTGGTATGAGTTTGGTAAAAAAGTGTCTATGTGAATTTAGAAGTTCATATGGGGGAGTTTTATTAACTTGCAAGATTAAGTGCCAGGCTACTTAGGCATATTCAAAAGATCTGTGTTTCAAAAGCTTTAGTCACTGGCCAATTTAGGTATTTATTGTCTCATTATTTTTTAACGCGCATTATAAGCTGAGATTGTAAAAAAAAAATACTTCGTATATCTGTTCTTACAGATGTCGTTGGGATCAACCCTGATCGAGGAACCCGAATATAAAACAAGGAAACATACGTAAACAAAAAGGTTCTTGAGTTAATTGACATGTCGGAATATAAATGGAAATGCAAATAGATATAACATCTTTTTACTTTTCTTTGACAGCACGGTCACGAATAATAATGCATCGGGTGCTGCAAGAGCAGCCGACCTCGCCGCAGACAAAATTTTCTGTGCATAACTGCTTATTCACTTTAGATATGCGCGATTAAAGTCAGTTGAACAGTGCAACACAACAACCCCAAAAATACTCGGCCGACCTTTTTTTTTTACGCTCTATGTTTTACTTTGTTCAAATGACTATAATGGCGTGGTCCAGTATCATAGTTTTCAACACTTTACGGTCGCATAAAACTGGACCGTAAAATTTACGGTCAAATACCAGGCAGCTGATGCTGCCAAAATTGTGCAGTAAAAATAACGGTGCACTGTAAATCTGGTGTACGATAAATTTAAACGGGGACCGTAGAAATCTACGGTCGCCGTTTAAAATGCACCGTAAAAATAACGGCGCGCTGTAAATCTTTTTACCGTAAATTTGAAGGCCGACCGTAGATTTCTACGGTCCCCGTTTAAATTTATCGTAAACCAGATTTACAGTGCACCGTTATTTTTACTGTACAAGTTTGGCAGCATCAGCTGCCTGGTATTTGACCGTAAATTTTACGGTCCATTTTTTACAGTGTATGCAGAGACTTCCTGCCCATGTTAGCTTGTCTTTTCCCCTGTCATTCTTCTGTTCACTTTCCTCGTGTCATTCGCACACCTCGAAATATGCACTCTCTCTGTATCCTCGAGTTTTTCACTTCTGCACTTGCTTAAGACATTTGCAAGCCATCCCTTTACTTCATGAGCTTTCCATGTGAGCCTTCACCGTGCAGCACCTTTACGCTTCTGGGAGCCTATGCTTTGCCTCCGACCCTTTTGGTTTATCCACTTGCCTATTTTAATTTTGCAGTTTCTGCGTTTTTCCTTGCAGAGGCACGAGACCCATGTCCCCTCCATGGTCATCGGCTGCAGCTTTTGGGTCTGTCTCATTTTATTTCATTGTAGTTGCAGACTTAATTATTGTCAGGTATATATGTGTTAGTTCGTTTGCAGTAGACCTAACTGCCGCCATTTCCTTTCTGTGAGTTAGTTTTTGTCGGACGCTCATACTCAGTGTAACAGGTGCAAGGGCTGGGTTTTGTTGCTGTGTCCAGGATGTTGCAAGGAGACTGCTGGCCAATGGACTTCTTCCAAAACCGACGCGCCCCATTGCGGCGAAATACCATGCAGTGCATTCTGGGAACTAGTTGGCCACTCAGTTTCGGTTTCGACTGAGCAGATTCATCTCATGCTATCACGCCGCGACCGAACGCACTGCTTGCAATTTCGATTATCTGACTTTTTTACGAATGTACAATATACTCATTCTCGAGCGATGCAAAACGAAGGCCGGGGCACTTTTTTTGGTTCCCGAAACACCGGATATTTGAGTGCGTATGCAAACGTAGTAGGACGTGGCTTAGTCACATCATCTTTGAGTTCAATTTCAATAATCCCGTCTAGTACCATTGAACTACAAGTGAAATTCGGTCACCTGGAGCATTACACATATTTTGTTTGCCAAATGTCCGCTTCTTGTTACTTCATTGGGCGAAAAGCAAGCCGCATCCTCACAGGAGTATCAAAGTTGAGCCCAGCGTTGACGCGTAAACTTTTAAGGAAACGCAATAAATTCAACCTCACTACTGCACCAAAGTTACTATGATGTCTTCCTCGTGTCATCATATATTCCCCACTCAAATCTTATGCTGATAGACGATTAAGTTTTCGCAAACGTGGAGATGGGCTAGCTACGACGGAGGCCCTAACAAGCGTCCCCTACTCCTCGCTAAGCCTTTTTGGACGAGCTTTTACTGACGCCCAAGATCTGTGCCTGAACGGTGTGTCCGAAATTATCGCGGCATACTCAGGCAGGAAGAAAGCTAACACATGACAAATATTACGGCCATTAGCAACCGTCAAATGCACTTTGAATAATTTCGTTCGTTTGGCGCACCGCATAGGGCTTCATACTTGTCCGGCGTACTTCTGGCGAATGGTGCAACATTTTTCACACAAGTGCTCGACTTTTGCTTCCTTAAAACGGTTTGTATGCGCGAATATGCCTATACGATTGCAGGATAACTTTACGTTCATACGCAATGTTGAATATTAGTAAAATGCAAGTGTGTGGGGACTTCGCTTCGTGCAGTGCTGCGGGTCAGTACAGATAAGAGATAAGAAGTGTGTTATAATTGAGCTTTTCAATGGCACCTCCGAGTTTTACTTCGTGTACACAGGCGTATTAAGAACACAGTACAGTAAAGCCTCGTTATAACGAAGTTGAAGAAGCGCTCGTAATTATTTCGTTATAACCATTAGTTTGTTATAGCCAATGTCCATTTCTTCCCACTATTAGCAAGCGAGGGGAATTATGATTGCTTTGTTATATCCATTAGTTTGTTATATCCCATTTTGTTATAACAAGGTTTTACTGTAATTGCAAAAAGTAATATTTCTTCTATGGACGCACGAAACGAACAAACTTCCTGATCAACAACATATAATGTAAAGGCGCGAGCTTGATGTATGCATACTTATTGGTTGCTACAGCCTGTTGATTCGTACATAAGCAAGATCCCCGAGCTTCGCAGCGTCGAGATTCCCAGCACTGGCTCGTCCAGATACCTCGAAACGCTAACAAAAAGGCTCAAGTACAAAAATAGAACAAGCATGTGTTAATTAAGAGAAGCTATATACGTCTCGGGCTTGTGCTAAAGCTTCGAGGTCTGGCCATTTAGGTTAGTTTATAGACCACAAATGACGCTCTCGGGACCAGAAAACATGAGATAATGGCCGTTTATAGTCCACGCTTTGTGTGTAATCTCTGGTCGACGTGTCGATCGAAACCGAAACCATGCCACTCTCCTCCCTGGCCAACTAGTTCCCAGAGTGCAACGCGCGCCGTGTTGCATGCAGGGCTTTATGGAAGTAGTCTATTGTGTGCATGCATCAAGAATAATTGTGTGTCAGAAGTTCCTTTATTTCCTTGTTTTTTGACTCCATACAGACCAATGTTGAAATTGTTGGTGGCTGCTTCATCCATGGAGTGCAAGGATCATACCTATTTGTTTATTAGGGAATAATTGACATGGCCGTGTCATACATGTTTGTTACATGGTCACTGGAAAGTGTGGGAAAAGAGAGAAAGCCCATGGCCATTGCACAGGGAAGCCCCCAGAAACACTGACCCCTGGTGGTGGCCTGATCCAACACTTTGCCGCACAAGCTAAAGGTTCATCTTGGTTGGTGTCGCCCGTGCCAGAGTGGGGCATCCTTGCACTGCTTAAAATGCCTGCTCAGTTCTTGGTCCATAGCCTGGTTTTTTCACTTGTTAACTACCAATCAAGTTAGTGCCCAGTGGTAATTTCCTAATGTGACTAAAAATGAGTTGAGTTAAAGCGTCTGGGGCACAACTGGTCCAGGTGGTGCTTCATTGTGCCATGGTGGATTTTACCAAAGTCATGCAGTTTTCGACAACCTGGAAGATGATCTTGGTCCCCATTGTTCTACAGCTCCCATGTTTCTTTCGAAAACAGGGCTGCTTTCTTTAAGGTTGCTAGGCCTTTCCAGGTCTACCTTTGGCTCCTGGGTCTCAGTGATGAGGTCCATGCAGCAAACCCTAGGACAAAAGTTGAACACGAGCTCTGTTGGAGATCGTCCTCCTGTGGTAGGCGGTGTGCGACGGTACACAAGGAGCCATCTTGGCAACTATGCGGCCAAAGAACCACCCGAGAGTTTCTTTAGACTGTCCTTGATCGTTCTGACAGCTCTCTCGGGAAGTCTGTTTGACTGTGGATAGTTAGGTGCAGTCCTTAGGTGGCCAATTCCATTCTGAGTAATGAAGTCGGTAAACAGCGTGCCGGGGAATGGTGTTCCATTATTGGACACCAAGCAAACAGGAAGTCCTAACCAGGCGACCGTGTTCCTCAGATATTCGACTGTTGCAGTGGAGTTGGCTGGCTGCTGATGCCAGTGGTTTCTTTCAATCTTGGTAACTGTTTACCACAATTAGCACCGTTTTACCTTCGATAGGTGCAGTGCAGTCCATGTAATTTCTTGTCCATAAAGCCGTGGGTTCTGGCCAAGCTTGTGGCTCTGCTTCTGGTGGCATTAATGCAGCCTGTTGGCATATTGTTCAAGGTTGTACGGCATCAACCATTGCCTTACCTCATTGCGTTGATACCCATGCGTGTGTCATGGAATTCTTGGAAGAAGGTTAACCTCCTATGGGCCTTTTGACTCCGTGGATGTTGTGTGACGACACTGGTCCAACTGCCTCTGGAGGTGTGGCACATTCAGGATCAGTTCCTCAGTGTGGTTGCGATACACCAGGAGCCTGACGCAGCAGTGTCTGCTTTGCCTTGTTAAAGCCGTCGTCTTCCCTTAATACACACCTCTATTTCACCTTTTTCCGGAGCAGGTGGTTGAATGGAGCCAATAGCTGAAACATTTGAGGCAGGCAGCTTGCATGCTATAGATGATGAATCCTGAGAAATAACAAAGTGCATGGCAATTCCATGGAGCAGGAACCTTCAGGTTGGCTTTCAGCTTGTTGAGATAGGTATGTAAGTCTATCTACCTAGTGATCGAGCTGAACGACTGACTTGCTTGCATCCAAGCTCGCAGGAAAGTCCTCAGAAGTACTGGCCCTCTGGTAGCCGGACCCATCAGTGACATTGCCTTTATCTTTCGTAATTAGGTGAAAGCTTGGTAACTTACTCGGGTGGACGAATATCAGATTTCTGTCATTTCACATCATTCATGCTATCTGATTAATTAATTTGAAGTTTTTTTGAGTGTCCAAATTGTGAAAATATTTTGAACTTTTCCATGGTATATACTGGTAGTTTAGTGGCTGGATATTAAAACTGAATGTGTGACAAATGTTAGAAAGAAGGTCCT